CAGTTAACTTTGGGGACTTACTCCATAGTCAAGCTTACCGTGTCCATATTATAGGCGAAATCTCCAACGTGGAGAATGGCATCAAAACTGTCCAAATCGTGCACTTCATGAATCAGTTCTGGTAGAGCCAAGTTGCCTGTGATTCCCATGTCACCAAAGACAGCCAATCTCGGAGACCAGAAGGGATGATCAGGTAAAACGCGGAATTGGAAGTTGTCCGACCACATAACGCCGTCTCCGCACCTATAAACTGGACAGATTCTGCTGAAATACACCCACTTGGAAATTATGTTGGTCTTAAAGACAGAGAGCATGTACTGCACGAAGGCAGCCCTATGCTGCAGCTCGGAAGATACACGGGATATACAAGCATGTTTCAGTGACAAAAGATTGCCCATGAAAACGCGCCAACGACCCACTACCGGTTGCGGCCTTCTTGAGACTTATGAAGTAGGCATAATTCCAGAGTTTCCTAGTTGAGTTTGTAGAAGGGTTTATTTAGTCACTTCCTTAGAACTTTTCATTCAGCTTGGAAAAATGGTTGCTGAAAACTTGAGTTCAAGTCTTCTGAATGATCCCTAAAGAGAATAAAGCTCGTAGTGGACTATCGACGAGTTTTCATCAACCTCTCCAGTAGGATGTCACGTCCCGAAAGACACGTTATCTCCAGGTTGTAGTAGACGCTATCGGTTAACAGTTTTTGGCAAGGTTGAACAGCTTTCATCTTATGAGAACAAAATCCAACCACCGAGCCATATATGAACGTTGGTTGGAATAAATCAACCCAATCCTCATATGGATGAATCAAGTGGAAGATAAAGGTTTCACAGAAGATCAGACGGCCTCGGCTGCTACCCAGGTTTCCTATAACCGATGGCGCCCTCGACAGCAGCTTGTTTCTGCACTATCCATATTAATACGTTCAAAGTGTACCGTGATACAGAAGAAATTCAATGCCATATGTGGGAGTAGCTGGTAGTTGACCAAAAATGTGTAACGCCAAGTGTCTACAATCAATTACCTCTTTAAAACCTCGCACATGTAATAAGAAAACAGCGATTGTTTGCACAAACTGCTAGAAAAACAACAGTATGTTCTTGAAAAACCTGTTGAGAAAAGCGGCAAACTTAAATCGAAGACTTTTTCAACTGCGTAGTCCATAATTGAGACGATGGTGGTAAGTGATTTTCTACATGAACCAATAAATGCCGATTATGACTGCAACAAACCATAGGCTGAAAAATTGCATTGATTACCTAAAGGCGCACAAATTCTAAAATACCATATTCGCACTAAGGTGAGAACTTTGTCCCACATTGTATTCGAATAGGTTTGTTTTGATCCTGGATCTATTTGGTAATTGATAGTTAGAACCTTAGTTTGGAAGATAAGCTAACAACTTTATGACTGTCAGATCTCTTTTCACAAAGATCTCCCTTTTAAACATAAACCTACATACGCATGAACTGTCCAACTAAAATTGACTTGGTTTCCACTGCAAAACGACACTGATGATACGCTGTATTGCACTTTATCCTACCGTTCAATACAGTAGATAAATCAGATTCTTCAAGAGAAACAAGGCGATTACAGTAACTTTTCTCGTCATATCCATTAGGGTTGAAATCCTCAGCTAAATCTGAAAAACTGATTTTCTTGTACACCAAGATTAATTGTCTGTTGTATTGTATCCTTACTATTCATCCAAGAGGCTTAATCGGGTAAACCCATGTCGGGAACTGAGGCTTACTCATTCTTTTAGCCCTCGGAGTAAACCGGTCACATACATGTGAACATGGTGAAACTTACGGTACAAAGCATTGGGTTCAAGATTTCGCAGCCGAACACGGTGTATGTAGAATGCTCTTTTTTCTTTACCACCGTCAACAAACTTGGATGCTGTCCCATATGCACGCTGATCGGATACATTTTTCACACCATACTCCAACACTGACACCGCAGTGGATTTCTGAGTCACCCAAGTGACCGTCAGTTGAGATGTTGTCTCTGTTATAATGAAAAAATCATAAATTTATTTCAGTATCGGGAGCAAAACTATTTGAACGGTTGGATTGCGCTTTATTAGTCTTCTGTTTGGCTAAGACGCTAACAACTACAAACGTTTCTAAGAACTTCCTGAGTGATATAAGATAGTCTAGGTTCATATCAACCTGAATCTATGAAACAATTTGAACAGTGTGTAGAAAAGCTGAACACCGAACTCTGAGCTACACTCCGATCACTTTTGAGTACCCTAATGACCGTCTAGCGTACTTCGTTATCCTTCCTCACCCGCCTTTGCTCCGACCTGTCCAGATGACGCTTTACTTGTACCTCGACAGGATTGTCAGTTGCGCTTGAATGATGCTGTTTAGATGCCTCCTGGATGCACATACTGTGATGCAGACAAAGGAATAGGTTATAGCACCGCACCACGAATATAAACAACTCAATACGTGATGGCGCACCGAATAGTCAACCAGCCAAAGAGACCGGCCGCAGTGGTTCTAGCAACAAGGATGTAAACTTAAAGCTGTGTGTACCAAGCCAACCTCTCCTAGTAGCATAGTGGCTCAAGTTGCTAGAATTTAAATTACGTTACTGCACTGCTCCAAGGTTCAAAACCCAAAGTACTCAAGACAAACGGATATAAGTAACAGCGAAACAAGCTTCCACTGTCTTGCTAGTTACGCGTACGAATACTATTAACAGGAATAGACGGTACCCGACGTGAAGTGTGAAGAAAGAGTTACCGCCAAAGATGCATGTATGTGGCGCGTTGACGTGGGTCTACTTTGGATTGCTTGAAGTTTTCAGGGGTAGATTGTAGGATCACTAAGTTGGGAGTGTGATGTAATCTATCCACGATAAACCCCAAAAAGCCAGCCAATCACCTTCGCGGTGAAAGGCGGGATATACGATATTCAAGGAGTGCTTTCCCAAGGTTGAATAAACTGCTTTCCCTCAGACAGTAAACATCCTTGTAGCGAAACATTCTCGTGGCAGAAGAGAGCGAAATGTCCGAAGTGACATACTACCAGTCTGATTTATAAGAAGTTGGAGTAACACTTAAAGTCGCAATTTCCCGAGCCTACTTGCCCAACATGCAAGGAAGACCTCTACCATGTGATGTCTAACCGTGACATCCTGGTGGAGAAATGGGGGGCTAAAATGACGATAGACGAACTAGTAATAGCTCGGTTGAGTCCAACAATGAGTCACCGAAAAGCTTATTATAGACGTCAGCCCACGAACATCTGATCAGGAGGTCCAGAGTCGACCTCAAGAATATTTCAAACCAAAGGCAGACAGCTACAGCGCCTCTAGCTTATTTCTGTTGTGGCACGCTAAAATCATTAGAATTGCAACTGCTATACTCCCTCGCTCCAAGGTACAACTCCAGGCCTGTGCAGGACTTAAGATTTTCATAAAGAGAGGAAAGATTACCTTGAAATCCTAAGGGTGAAATCGCCCGAAAGGCTCACATTTCTCGCCCTATTCAGAATGACAGCTAGTCGCAGGCCGGAATCTCAGTACTTTTCTATCAACCATAGAAGGAATCCCGAGACCGGAATTCTTCTAGTAAATCCATGGTTGATTCCTTGATGAACAGGTGAAATACACGGCTGATGCCACGTGCGAACTGCACAATGAAAATTCCGTAGAAAGAAAACTATAAATTCTAAATCATAGGTAGCTAGTTAAATCACTGAGTAATCGGAAACTGATTACTCAAAATTTTTTGCAATGCCCAAGATTGGAGCGCTCCAGAATACTACTGATACAACAAATCGCAAGAAGTGTTCTTCAATAATTCCAAGAAAATTACGTATCAATCTGCTTCCTTGTTTTACCTCCTGCATTACCTGAAATTAGAATATCACCGATACGTTACGGCTACACCCACTATCCTCAATAATATATCCCAACAAGGCTAGTTGATTGGACTGAATGAAGGGATGTGAACAAACCGTGCAAAAATGATGAAACATCCCCTAGTTTTGCGAAGTACAATTATATGCATACCAATCTAGTTTTGATGATTTCTCTTAGGTACTCTTCATCTGTCCAATCCGTTCCTGTACATGGTTTCCAGTCAGATACCAGTTCAGTTTAGATTAATGGGTTATTCAGACCAAATATACTTACATACATCGCCTAATCACCAGCAGGGAGTTTGTCACCACAGATGTTCCTGATAGTGAATTGGCTCTGAAGGACAAAATACCATCAAGCATGCTTAGTTTGTCAGTCTGAAGCTGATATCCGGAAAGTTTTTCTAGGCAGCTGAATCTTAAAAAATCCTTGTGTCTCGTCTCCCACCCATTGAGAGATTAGTAGCCAAATATTAGTGTGAAGGCAGTGAAACCGGACAAGAAAAACTTACCTCCAATCGCCAAATGCACTTGTTCCGGCTTTTGATCATTAGCCAGGGCAAAGTACCTTGACCAGCATATAATGAAAGCAAAAATTAGCCGTCTCGCTGTCCACACATTAACCCGTTTGGAAGGTTTAAGGAACATTTCTGTACCACTCCGCTTTGCACACCCAGGTCAAATAAACAGTCACTATTACTCGTATGTCAATTAACTTTGTGTAGCCGTGGAACGGACAAATAAACTGGCGAGACTGTTCGTCCAATCACTCAATGACTTGACCAACTATGCACACTCGACTAATGTAATGCAGCCCGATTTAGAACAGTAGAAGTAGTGAAGCTACATTGAAAGAGTTGTGCTTCACTCACATTCTCAAAGCAATCCTCAAACTGCAACTTCCTGTAAAGGATTTAGTGTGTGTTTTCTGAAATCGAAGTTTCGTTCACCGAAAAACAAATGGCCAAATTGTGTCGAACAAGGCAGATCGCACTTGGTCCAATAAATCTATGATAGTCTTTTTTCCTTGTCAGATTCCATTTCAACCAAAGTTGGTTTGTGTACCGTTCACAAGCGCGCTTTCTAAATATTATTACTAACAATAAGTAGTATAACCGTATTTCGAGATACCCTTGGGATAGACATTTAAAATTCGCGAAAACGTCACACGCGAGACCGGTGAAGATTTATTTTCCGGTCGCTTGTGTCGTTGTACAACAATACTAATTTCGAATGCATTTTGTTGAAAAATAGGTCTTACTAGATGGTTTTCGGCGTACTGCCACCAATCATACCTGAACAGTATAGAGCACGAAATTTACCCCAACTGCCAGCAAGCTTGATTGGCTCACTTCATTAGGCTTTGGTGACCTAAGCCTAAAATAATGGTGGCCAATGATATCTGATTGTCCACCTTCCCGGAAACAGATGAGGATTGCGATGGTCATCTTAGTACAGTCAAATCATGCGAGTACCTTGATAAGTCACTTTAAAGATGGTGAACAACTGAGGAAGACGTACTGACTTACCATATTCAGAAGAATGGATTCCTGTGCCATATACTTTCATGAGAAAGTTGAGCTTTTTTAGAATCATCTGGGCAAACTCCTGTATATATTTAGTCTTTGCAAATACCACCAAATCGTGCAAATCTTCCCTTGCACAGACTGAACCTCATCATGTTTCAAAGGCTTGCGTGCCTCAGTAACCCAATGAGCTATGTTGGAGGGCGTACATTCGAAATTCGCAGAGTTCCTCCTACCGTGACAGTGGTTTGACGTACGATTTCTTCCGACTTTATAGGCTGAGCTTTGGAACGAGGCTGGCGTTCAGTTCCTCAAAATTTGGACCACTCGAGTAGAGTTGGGCCACCACCACCTACCGGCCAAGCTTTCGAGCCAAAAGGTTTGGTTTAAAGCCATGATTAACTTTATTTTTAGGTTGAGGCACCGCGTTGGTGACTCGTTTGAAGAAAACCATTAACTTGGCAGATAAAAGTGCACCGGTCTTGCATCGACCTTTGCGTGCCTGCCCTACTCATTACACATAGCAGGAAATTTAAGCTAAGACATGCGATAACTGACGTATCCAGTCTTTCTCATTCGCTATTTTTCAACTCCAAGCCCTACTTGACAAATCAACCTTATTTGGGTCGCTGGTTTATGTACTTTTGACAGTTAGACACCGTTATGTATTTCTAGTGTATTGTTGCTGGCGATGCTGACGACGATGCAGCAATTTCTCACAAAATGAAAACTCGAAACCCCCGTGCTAAATACGCACAAACCTAACGCGCTTATGGTTAGAGACACGTGAGTGGATCACGAATAGCTCTTTCCGATTTGTTGAATGCTGATGTCCAGTGAGGTTGTGAAAACACACTATGTGAAACCCAGTTGAAAGAGAACAACCGGGTAAGGGTATATTCCATAAAAGAATACACCGAATAGATAAGCCATATAATCTGTAACCTGGTAAAAATCACACATGATGGTTAACTTCCTACAGACAAGAAACTTGCTTTTGTAATTTCTTATTCGCCGCTTGAATTTTTAAGCTCTCAAAATCATAAACACATTTAAATGTTCCATTTGAGGTTTATCTTGAATCTCTACCAGGAATTCAGCTTTCATTTAGCACATCCGTGATCCGGAGGGAAAACGCTTGTGGTTTACTGTCAGTATTGCTGTAGAAACAAGATTCCAGTCATTGCTTACTCTGCTTCCATGATAACTATCTCAATACAAACTGGGTCATCTGAAATTAGTCGTGAGTTTGTTAAGGCCGCGTTTTTTAGACGCTACGTATTTCTGCGTTAACAGAACCCTCTCAGTCGAGTTCTGTTTGACTAGTGAACGAATGGAGCATGTGACCAGATAAGTACTGACGACTCACAATATCTGTCAAATTATTTCGGTTGATCCGTATTTACTTACCCCCTGTACTATTTTACCAAGAAGTTTGCATTCGTGCTTTTGTTTATTTGGAACCTGAAAAATGCATGGCCCACAAGTTTGAGTATACCACACTGTCAACAATCAGAATTTGTCACCAGCAAAGTCAAGTGATAGCTGATCTGTCTGTCACTTTCTCCAATGAGACGCTGTATGTTCATCGGTCCATCGTTCGTACACTCAACTTGATGGTCCGATTAAACCATGTGACCCACGTTTTATTTGTTTATCCAACTGGTGCAGAACCAGGTTAGTTGATGGCACTGTCAAGTGGACGCGAACAACCTATCGTAACTGTGAAACCAGTGCTATTCGGTCGGAACGTATCGATCAGATGAACATGATCAGCACACTAATCCGTAGCTGTGTAATCGGATTCAGCTGGAGCACATGAGATATCAGGATTTTTGGCATATATAGTCTACCTGATTTGAGCACGGCGAAACATGTTGCAGCTTTTGTGGCTCCTACTTATTTGGAGGCCTATTTGTGCAAAGTCGCAAGAGGCAGCACCCGAACAGGTGCATCTGGCACTTGGTGGTATGTTTCTCCGCACCAACCTATTTTCATTCATGGTAAAAACTTCCAATGGAAACATTAATGCCATTATTATTTATATACAAGGTCGGGATAATAATAATTGTATGTATAAGCATACTGGTTGGTTGGGGAACTAACCATCCATCTGTTTTTTTGCAGAATGTTTGTTTTATTCTCATTTTGAACGATGTAGGTGGCTGCTTAGAACTTGTGAACGGTTTGCGCCATTGTTCCGCAGTAGGATTTAGAAAGCACAAGCTCTTCACAATGAATTAGTCTTACTATTTTATGTTAATAGTGTGACCTCTTATTGCCGGATAACTGTTTCATAACTTTCATTGCTTTTTCAGATCGGGCTGATATCATTGTCGTTACTTGGGTCACTCTGCTTCCAACCAATTCATCCATTGTGCTGTACGGAACAAGTGAACTCTTGTTGCAAACGGCTACTGGATCCCATACCACGTATGTAGACGGTGGAACGGAAGAGAGGGTATTTTATAACCATCGGGTCACGCTACAAGATCTTCTACATGGATATCGATACTGTAAGTGTTGTACCAAAACTATGATTCAGATATGTTAAACAACTAGCTACATTATAATGCGTGACTTACCAACCCCTTTATCCCTTGGATCAAGGCTAAATCATGAAGATACTTACGTGGATTTTGGTATCAATACAGGCTAAGACAACGCCTCTTCACAGATCCCAGTTTGCTCAGCTGAAATAGGCATGAAGGTAATTCCAACTTCAGAAAATATTTCAGCTGTATCAAACGGCATCGAAACTCTCCAATGATTTCAAAAAGCTTCCTAGTCAAGCGTATACTGTGTGATCTGAAAGTCTATGTGCTGCAGTTTGCTAGTAACTGTAGTTTATCAGCATCCTTTAAACAGGAAATGCAGTCTTACCAACCAAAGTCGCATCAAAAACGTCGCTTTTAGGTTCAACTGTGAATATTTTCAAGGTGCTTGCCTCCAAAATTCTTCTGCCTGAGTAATATCAGACTTTGCCTAAAATAAGAATAGTAGGAGGAGTCTGCTGTGTCCACAGTTCTCGTGCGGTGTAACTGCTTTGCTCATGGTCAAGTCACCTATGGGGGGGTCTACTTTTGACCATCAGAGGTAAATATCACCCCTCCAACGTACCAAAATCAGCATTTGTAACTGTTGACGAAGAGAACCGTGTATCCTGTCGTTGTTTTGTTCATCTTGATTCACAAGCACCTTCGTTGTCTAGAGAATCCAAAACACGAGGATTAAGTCACACTCCTAAGGACTGAATATACGAATAGTCGGAGATTGTCTTTATAAGTCGAGAAGGAATTGATTCACGGTGCTAAGGCAGTCTTCTGGTAGGTTCGTAAACAGTTCTTGGGGAGGATATTGCTAAACCACCCAAACACAAGCATATCCTACTTTGAGACTCGCTTCATCTCTATAACAGGACATGAAAGACGCCTCTCGATGAGTTCATCAGCACCAGTAGCTCAATTAAACTTTTCGACCTTTATCAGAAAATTCGGACTTACCAAATAGCACTTGTTTAATGAATATAATTTAGGCTTATCCCAGTTTCAACTAGAATAGTGCTCTCTTTTCGTAATCATACCTCCTGAGTATCGGCTAAGACCAAAACGCTCAGAAGCGATTTCATTCTTTCAGTGAAGCCAGCCTAATTTGAAAACCCGGTAAGCACTTTGCAGCTGCTTTATCCTCATCATCAGCAGTACACATCTCACGAAAGATTCAAATCCACGTGGGAAGTTTCACAATCCAGTGGAATTATCGATTAGCAGAGCTGCTTATTGTATCAGAGTTTCATAAAACTTCCTCCTGAGACGTTGTCACTCGGGGAGCCAGTCGATACATGACCATTTGATGTGGATTCTCATTATTGAAGGATGAGTGACGCTACGTCCGGTCCTAGTGAGAGCTAATCAAACTGCTGGTTAGTCACTCTTCACTAAACTGTAAGGTGTTCGACCATTTACCGGACGGTTGCGGATTTGAACCTCTCCGAGTTTTGTGAGATGCATGCTGCTGATAATTCCCAACGAGGATGACACGGCTGTAAAGTGTTTCTTGGATGTTCAACATAGCTGGCTCCACTGACAGAATGAAATATCTACTAGATATGGTCAAATCTCCCCATTTAACTGTAGAAGTTAAATGGATCGTTTTTAGCAGATATCTTGAGCAGAAAATGAGATAATGCATTCAAACATAAAGATGTCAAAAGTCCGAACTGTAATAAAGTCGGCCGACAGCCCCTTCTGAGGGTATTCCAACCGATTTGGGTCATCCGGAATTACACTCATTTTGCGCACTTGCACTCAGCAACAGCAATAACAATTCGATCACGATGAACTTATTCGGTACACAGGACGGAAGGTTAACAGGTAGTTGGTCAATAGACCAATGCTCCGAAAACATGTACATTCAACTCCATAAACATTAGTGGAATAACGACCACTCTTTGTGACCAAAATGTCTGACTGTTTATTTGCTTTGTACTGGTTGACGTTTACAACTTCAGTGAATAGGTCAAAAACATTCGTTCGTGCCACCAAACAGTACTTAAGTCTCAGTCACAGAACTATGTAAACTGTTTCAGTCAGTAAACCATTACACTTAGCTTTTTTCCCAGGTGAACGTTCTCCCATTCAGGGTCAGAATCCACCTAATGCACCGTCCTACTTAAAAGATTAGCCCAGTAGTAGATATCTGTTGCACCATTCATATTCGTTTTGCAGATATTACAGCGTACAAAACGGGGAAATGGACACAAACTTGGGTTTGGGTGACACTTATAAAGACGGAAGGTTTCCAAATGCATACCTATGATCAACAGTGCGTTTGTTCACTAACACCACGTGTAATTTAGTTTCGTCAAACTTTCTATAATTTTCCGCCATTACCGCAGACGACGTAGCAATAGAAGTGCTCTTACATGATTCACATAGAACCTTCAAATCGAACTCGCTGATCCAATTCCGTCAATCATAATTCAGGTACTCGACTGATGAATTTATGTTCACACCGCACGGTAAACAGTTTTACTCAAAAGGTTTAGCTAAAAACGTTATGCAATCACTCTAGGAGAATCTTATTTTTGTCACTTGGGAAGATTTCGGAATCAGAAATACCCGCCTGTCTACCTGTCTTCAGTAGTCCGGACAAAGACGCAAGCACAGGCAGGCGTTCCCAATGTTCGGGGTACACTTTTAGATTCTCTCACAAAATTGCTTCTATTTGGATAACTATGAGAAAACAGTAAATTTACCATCACTGCCGACAGCGTTGGCAATTTGGAAAAGGTACTAATCTTATGGGATATGTCATCTTTCGATATTATGAAACGGTTAAATTTTTTGGCCTCCAAGAGGGAAAATATTGTCGTGTTTATTTTGAACCTCTTTCTTATCTGGTAGACTATAAATGCGGTGATGGAAGTTCATGGTCTCAAACGTTCACATTCCGAGCCCTGGCGGACCATCCGTTCTGGTCTCCTCGTTTGGCGATCTTCGGCGACATGGGTATTACAGACAACTTGGCTCTTCCAGAGTTGGTGCGCGAAATAAACGAAAAGGACAGTTTTGACGTGATTCTACACAACGGTGATTTTGCCTACGACATGGATACTGTGAGTAAACATGTATTTTCTTAGTAATGTTCAAACTTTTTTTATTCCGCAGTCGTTATTTTCTACCCGTCGTTTGCCCATGGAAAAGCATTAGTGCCACTTTAAGGCCATCACGTCCCTATAAAGACGGTTGCCAGGCGTTCTTATGAAGACCTTCAATGAGCTTAATATAAGCATTTTTACCTTAACAACTCGATGGCTCATCATTTAAAATAAGAGAGGGAAACCAAAATGCACAATGGAATACATATGGCTCACGGAAAACTTCCTGAACACAACGTCCTTCATAGCGCATTTATTACACGCAGAAACGGATGACTTACTGCTAATTATTCGTGGTTTAAAAGCAGGGTAAAACAAAACACATCCGGAGTCTGTATATTTACTGCCATCTTGTTTGCACGGACCTCCTGTCCTAATTAAAGCACACCCAAACGGGGATATAGTAAATTCCGGCTTTTATTTCTTAGTAGAGCTCATCTTTGGATGTAGGCTTATTAAAATGCACGTCAACACGTCTCAAAATTTTGAGATCAAAAAGAAGAGGGTAATGAAAAGAGGTGGAGAATTCCAGAGCTTGGCAGTTCTAGAAAAGCAGAACAAGGCCAAAAAAGTGGGTAAAATGACTTAAGGAGATGAGTTTTGAAAATTACTTTTTTTCACGCTTTAGAACAAATGAACAGCTTTATCTCGGAAATTTGCACCAGCCGGAGGGCCGTCAACAGACAACTTAAGTGCGGTCCTTGGGCATTCTATGGTCGTGAATTTTTATTTCTTTAGCTCTGAAAATACCACCCCTTCTTGACTACGAACAAATTTTCAATGCCGCTGAATGTACAAGACACCGATTAAGTTTTCGGCATGCTGGATGGAAACAAGCTAATAAGGAACTTCTAACACACCAGTCCTGTAGATCTTCTTATTTATTCTGACATGACCGCATGATTACTAGAGGTGAAATTTTTAAATTTAGCTATCGTAACTTGACATCTTGTTGCTCACACAAACGAGATCATTGTTGGCCTGGGTGAACTAGTGACCAATGTTTTTGTCCGTCTTCCGTCAGATGCCCAGGAACTGTTGGATTCGGTGCCAAACTCCTGTCCAGTTGACGAATAGCGTGACAGCCACAAAAACTCTAACAATTCCTAGAATTTGAACACCATTTACCCTTCTGCTATTCGGTAATTTAACTGACAAAATAGCTTTTCATTTGCACTTAAGAGCCAATTAAAAACAACAACAAACATGTTATTAGTAACAATAAAGCGAAACCTAGTCAGTACATACTTTTGAAAATTCTCTATTTAGAAGACCATTTTCGATGATCATCCCTTTCAGAACAATTCTCGATTTGGTGACATATTCATGAAACAAATAGAACCGATTGCCTCTGCTGTGCCGTATATGACTGCCGTGGGGAATCATGAACAAGCCTAGTAAGTGTACTTCAGATTATTCATCTTTCTTGCCCGAGCATTTCGAGATTCGAAAAACATCGTAGTGTACCACTTCAGTAGCACTGCACTGGTTTATTTAAATCAATACTACACAGCTGTTTGCGATTCCAGATGAAGAACAAAAAACAAACTATTGAAAATTTACTCGACTGACATAAATTAAGGACAGATCCCGACAGAATCACATCTAAATCAACAACTCTTTGATGAATTATCAACATAAATTCTTATGCAGAATCGGAAATTTTAGAGCTATACACCAGTGGATTATCAGCTGCCTGGCTCACACGACTGAGTACAGTTTCATGACTAGGTTTGTTGTTCTGATGCGGCAGAAGAAATTTAACAGTTTTCCTAAAGGAAACTACTCATAAGGTTGCTGAAAACTCTTCGACAGCCCACGACCGATTTCGCCCTTCTTGGGGCCAATCAGGTCGGCGCAGTCCTCAAATTTTCGTCGATCCTATGTTCTACTTGAACCCAAGAGGGGCGAAATCGGTCGTAGGCTGTCGAAGAATTTTAAGTAACCTTGTGAGTAGTTTTTTCATTGAAACATACTGCGATATCTCGAATATCGCTCCAACTGAAACATGAGGCTGCCTGTGTGCAACACATTCAGTTGTAGAATATCATAAACGAGAGATTAAGTTGAGTCTCTCATGAAAATCAAATTGATTTGCAAATGAGTGTAGTTCTCAAAATTTAGCAGTTTTTCGGACACTGATTGAACTTCACCACCCAACGTGACCTTTGAATATCCAACTTATTCCTGTTCGCCCAGCCTATTTGTGCTAATTCATTCCAAAGCTGCTTTTGGTTTGGAATCGAGATTCAACCAAGTTCAACAGACCACTGATGGGACGAGCAACAGAGCCCGAAAACCCCTCCCATACTCTCACTTTGCTGACAACACTTCAGTAAACTGCAGTATCAAGGATTTTAACATTTCAAGAGCTACCTTGTGATCAGCGTGGTTAAGCAACCCAGAGATTTAATTCCTGTTGTACACAACAATTTTTACAAGCGTCGAATGCAAATCCGCTGTTTGCCGCCCCATTATTATTGGTCAGAAAGACGTTCACTTACAAATTACATGAAAGGTTTTCAAAGTGACCCTAACAACCAACAAAATGTACCACAATTTATGCAGATTGATGACTTACAGGACAAATGTAGGGTTCAATGCCACGCATATTCTTGAAAACTAAATATTAGAAGTTGTTAAGGCTCACATGTTGAGAGGTTGCCTTGTTCGGGGTTGTTACACAACTTTTTGCAAGCATTTTTTCGACTTCACTTCATGCAGTTAGTTCCTGTTGCCCACGATTCTTAGGCTCAAGACAGCCTCAGGTAGGAGATTTCTTTTGGTGGAGTTACTGTGTAATTTGCACCAACGAATGAGTTTGAGTGATCTCAGGCCAAAAAGACAATGACACGTTAGCACCGGCCAGCAGTCACCTCTCAGTTATCTTGTGCTTGAATTTCATCAGTATATTGGTCGGTTCCTATGCAAACCTAACTCTGTTTCTATTCATTTGAGCAGATGTTTTATGTTATTTTTCGTTTTTTTTCATAAATGCATGGTACGTCATTGAATAACTTACTCCGGATAAATTTCTACTTAGTCCGCAGCAACCGATCCAATTTTCACTGTCGTTAGACGGATTATGCATATCGGTCTTCTGCCTCAAACTTGCAACTGACTGAGATCTTTTGGGTACTGTACTCTGTGACCTTTTTCAACCTATCTGAGCGTTACCTCATCATCAGAAATGGGGAGTTGTCAGAACGGAGCCTCTAATGAGCCAATAATGTTGCTCCAGGTAACATGCATATTGTCAACTAATTCAAACAGCACAGTCAAATTTTACATGGTCAGGAAGGTAAAAACGTTCACACGGTATGAAAATCAGTGCTTGTTTAGTCGAAATGTTTGGATGCTATGGCATTTTTTAGTTACTACTTTTGACATTCCTCTGCGTAAGTTCCGACAACGTGAGTTCCTACTTTGCTTTCCCTGCTCAAGTCATCGAAGTGAACCGAGGACGTCAAGCAGTTGCTTCCTTCGTTCAAAATAAGACTTCTAGATCATACGACGCCTGTAAGGTTTCTTAAATATGGTCATCTTTGAGTCTGTCCTCAAGTCTTGTCATTAATAATGTGTTATGTTCCCTTCAGACAGCTACCAAAAGGCAAGGTCTAATGGACACAGCACCTAAATTTAAATGATGAAGCCCAGACTGAAGAGCTGCATTCGTCATTCTTGCACTCTCGGTAGTAAGCCTTACCCCAAGCACGTACAACAAGGGAGTCAGCTAGGCAAAATATTCCCCCACTAGTGGATGCAATACACGTAACCGGTCATTCAAAAAAGGTGTTGGTACTGGTGACATTTGACCCTAGTGTGATCAGTAGCAAATCATATCCAAAGCTATCCCTAAGGCTGCTACTGTGATAGAAACGGGTAGTATATGCTGATGATAACGACGTCAGGAAATACTTTGAAACCCCAAGTCCGCAGTTCCCAATACCTGATAGAAACAAAAACAGTTTAGGGCATTTCAGTCCACATGCCAGTGATTTGTGATGTTGCATTGGCCTTATCCGTCGACCGTCATCTTTGCACCGTTTTTATCTCCGGCTTTCAGCAACTTCTCAAACTACAAAGCTCGTTTCAGTATGCCAGGAGGGGACGGTGAATCACAGTTTTATAGGTAAGCGATACTATCGTTTCACTTCCCAGTATTTATCTGGTTTGTAGTGCCACGATTGTAAGTATTGTGGACTAAAATTGCATTCACTGTGAGCAAAACCAGTCGCATTAATGCATATCACCCACTCACAGTACCGTAAGGAGCTTTTACAAGTCATTCTTTCTTTCTGATACGCGTAAACAGTAGCAATCCAACCTAGCCTGGTATTTTCTAACATTGCATAAGTTGACCCGACAACCTTAGAAGCCACACCAATATACTGATATCTATTTGATCACCATCCGGAGGTTGTGAACGACCTCTCAACCGTCCACCTAGCTCTGATAATATGATGACACCCAAATCCCCTTTCAAAAACAAAGAACTGTATGTTAGTTCACGGTCTCAACAAGGAATGGTTTTCATAATAAAGGATGATCTTACCAGAAGGGCTGTTGTCTGTGCTCGAATTATCAAACTTGTTCCGGCAGTGCTGACCGTCGCGCGCAGTGCCCCAAATTCTCTGTTAATGTGCATCTGTAGAAACGCTGACAGAACGCCGCCTACAGTTTTAACGTAGGCAGACTCCCGGCGAATGACTGGAGATAACTTTTCTGAGGTATCTGACTATCATAAACATTTCTTCAGCTTTATTTGTAGGTGATACTACTGTTAGCCACTCTTGTTTTAAAGTACCGTATTTTGTCCTTCCATCTGAATGGGCAAACATAAAAGACAGGATTTTCTAGCTGCCAACATTTTTGTGTTTATTACATCAGCCGCTGAACTAAAAGCAATCGGTTTGCACCCTTACTAGGATCAAAGCATTGAAACAGATCGTGTCACACTGTAAGCTAACCAGTTTTGATTGTTGCTGACAACTTATGTCAAACTCTTTTGTGCGCGCCAGGTAAGTCAGAATCGGTTAATCAGACTAGCTTTACTGAACGCTAGCAATCGTAGAATGGAAATCAAGGTACCTATATAGGGACATCCTCCTGACTAGTGAAAAGTGTCTTTGCCGATGAGAGGCAGGCCAGAATCTGAGAACCTCTTTCACATCCGTATTTTACGTATATGGCATATTCCAGAATGCTGTGGTATCGAAAACAGATGAAGCCAAATCACGTGATGCTCAACGAAATCTGCTGTTGTTGCATGGCGTGTTAATCGTTCGAGTGAACTGATTGTCCTGTGTGGTTGTCGACTTGTTAAAAGTAAAGTGGCAGTAACTGATACTTTGAGAACAGGTTCCGACCGAACGGTGCCCTACCACAAATATGCCTCTTCAGACTGGAAGCCTCCTTGGTAGGAATCCTTGCCCAAGCCTCATTGTGTCCAGATTATTGCCGGGATTCAGAATGTTAGGCGTTTTGCTAATTGTATGACTTCTCTTTTCGGGTAGACAGAAAAGTGACTATGAAAGCTTTGTTTTAAGCTGACATGTTCCTTGTAGGTGACGCATCGCAATGAACAATCCTCCAGTCCTTCGCAAACGCTTCTTTTTCAAGTGACGTGCTCGGTTAACATTATTTTGATTGCTATTGATAAATAGTGAGGGCAGCAAATATACATCGGCAGGTTAAACTTTCTCCTACCCAATTCAAATGAATAAAAACATGGTTCATTCATCCCTATCCATCAAACTATCAACCCGTCAGATTAGTGTATAAGAAACCCTAGTTCCTCGTGAAAATATTCAGCAGTGTGAATGTATGTTTTAACAAGCATACTAACAGGACGACAGATATTACATTTTATCTGACAACATAAAGTTGGCTTCAAACTGCAAATACTCGTTATTCAATAAAATTGGTGTGTCCGCTAAAAAGCCTTGAGTTACGGGTCCGTGAGAGTAACAGCAATTACGTTTAATTCGTGCCTACGTCGCCACTTTGCTCTTTTCTGTCGAACGTTTTTCACTGTTTGGAATTGTACCCTCACTGACGAACCAGATGCATTATTGGTTGTTTGTGCTCCAGAAGTTGGAATAATAAAAAATATAGCAACTTACCGAAGGTAGAAAAATTTATCTCAAGCGGTTTTAAAGAGGACAACCAAATTTCTAGTTTTCGTCACGAGATGCTTTGAGCAAAAGCTGCGCACTTCTACTTGGTAGAAACAGATGGCAGAATTTGTAGTTTAAACACTCAATTCAAAAGGACGAAATTGGAGTACACTACTTTAGCATGTTACAGCACATAGTCAACCTCCTTTATAATGACCATTTTTCAGCCATTCAGATCTTTCTTCTTGAAACAAAAAACAAAGGACATCATCGAACAAACGCAGCCCACCGCAACGTGCGTACTATTCTTGTAGTACGTAAACTTTTATCAACAGGCATCAATACTCTATGTTTTTCATGCAGGACAAACCATTTGTCTACTAGTCCCCTAACTCTGGCGCGTCTTCTACGTGTTAGTTGCATACTGTTGTATTTTCGGTGTGTAGTTCGGACCATCTTGCAACCTTTATGCCATACTCACCGATGGCGTCCCCAGAGAGCGTCCTGTATGGGGCAAGAAGACCTGTAATAGAATAACTGGTGAATTACTCTCCGTTATCAGCCTTTCATAAACGCTGCTCTGATTGCTAGAGACAGAACCCCAAAAACGTGCTTAGGGCTAGATAACTTGGCAATCCACTAGTGACCGGGCTGGTTACTGGGATGCTGGCTGTCCTCCCTGTTCATATTCTCCGCCTTTTTTTCCACGTGTTTTCCGAAACCAGCAGCGCCTGTGATAAACACTCCTGGGTTTTTGATGGCTATGATTTCGTAGGGCGACCCTTCGTTGTCTTATTCTCGGTTGTATCGATTCATTTAACCGTAACTCCTAAGCAGTAGATAGTAAGCGACGCTTTAGCAGTGAGTTGTGTTGTAAGGATAACAAAAATTAACGGGGTTGTGAATTTATGTTTAGCTTCAGATGATACAAGTGAGTATGAAACTGTATGTTTACCTGTTTTGATTGACATGTGTACGCTATCAAACATCCATGTTTTCTTGGTACTTTCAGCTATTTGTTACTTCTAATAATGAGTATAATTAGTATATATTGATTAACTTAGGCGATCAACTGCCTGGCAATTTGACGATAACTGAAAAAAGATTTGAATACTTGGATTCACCTAACCTAAAAGGGAATATTGTGTGCAAGTTTTTTTCTTATCTGCAATCAACTACATATCCTGACATCTAATTATGGAAAGTAAAATATACACGTTGGGATTGCAATAACTAGTTTGATCTTAAACATGATAGCCGGCGACTGGTTCAGTAATCTCTATTGGGGGAGCTCTAATTCTCACTTGGCTCAGGCTTCTCAAGGACATGTCGACACTGTTCGCCAAATGCATACATCACCTTCAGGTTACATTCAATGTGCACTGTTCTGTCAAGGCCTCAGAAGATCCGCCGTACTCGTGGACTAGCATTGTCACGTGGGGAGGAATTGGAAAACGTTTCGACTACCACAAAGACGCGGACCGATTCCAGAAGTGTCGTGCCTCTTACTACACAACTGAATAGATCGACAGCTTTTGCATTATCACGTCATTGCAAAGCCCATTTATTCATCAGTAATTTGCAGTGGTGATTCACGAAATGCGAAATTTGGAAGATTCCTAACAAGAACGAACTAACTTCATACTTCAATAAAGCAGGTTGACTCATATTAAAGGAACTTAAGATAATCCTCTGAAGAAATCTGTTCTCACAAGTGGTCACTGTTTATTCAGCTTGTCAACTTTCCGTTGCCATCATTATGGGATAAGAACCGTTTTCTACTAACAGCGAACACCGTCGCATTCGGATTCATTCAGAATAAAGTTTAGCAGTGGCCTTGGCTTGACTTTGAAGTGTCGTTTGAACCGGTTGCGCTCACCTTATGTGTCCTACTATGGAGAAAATCACTCTTTAGACTGATTTCCTCTGGATCCACCCATACATTGGCTTGCTCACTTAGGGTAGTTTGCACATCTGCAGTTCAGCTAGTAGGAAATAGTGTCTTGCCGTTGGTCCAAGCTGTTGATGGGTCATGCTGAACAGGGATTCTGTTTTGTCCAACTGCTCCATTTCACCGAAGTAACTCCCCGAGAAACCGTGGGGCTCATTCAACTTGCCTTTGATATCCGACCGCTATTCAGTTCACCCAAGGTTATCGAATGAAACACATCTGTCGGGCTCGAGACTGTCTGTGATACATGCCCCATTTCTTGGTTGTTGGTCTGTTCGCCGAGCTTGGGAGTTGAATTGCAAACGTTTCATCACAAATTGAGTTGACATCGTCAGTTCAGTGCAGTGCAGTGTGCTGACGATATCACCTCGATTTACAATGAAACGTTTGCAATCCAACTGCCAGGCTCGGCCTACATACCAAAAACCAAGCAGCGCACTCGAGCTACCTACATTTCACAACAATGCCGATGCTCCATTTCTCTTTTGGCACAAAGGATATAACCCATAACAGTAATCTTCACATCTGAATTATATCAGAAACCAAATCACAGAACGAGTGCTTATATCCTGACTGGCGTGGTACGTTTCGCACTAAAAGCCAGTGACCATTTTTCGTACTCGAGATTTCGTCCTTTAAGTCAAGGTTATCTATACTGAAAAGCAGTTCTATCTTTATTGGGAACCGTCAGCAGTGCGCATCTCACGAAACTCCGGGGAACTTCGAACCAACGTCCTTCTCTGAACACTTCACCGTTTGTTCAAAAGTGGCTGAACGGCAGTGCAATTAGCCCTCACTTAGACAGGACATGGTGCCACTCATCCTTCAATCACGCAAATCACATCATGTGTTGACTGGCTCGTCGACTGGTGATGAAATTTTCATTCCTCTTGCGCATTTAATCTACCTCCGGTCTATTTATTGGTTGTTGGTAGTGTGAAAAATTTGGTTATTTCCAAGCGATATTTCTTTCCATAAGTGAATTTAACCTATGCTGAGGATCTGCGAGTTTGTTTCTGCCGCTGTGATACATTAGGCGAAGGTTTGCTTGTTAGTGCATGAGTGCGGTGCAGCCATGCTTCATCAAGCCAGACTGTCTTCGAATTACTAGTTCCCATTCCGGCAAGCTGCGATGGAATTTCAAGTGTGCAGTTGCTAACTCCGGCAAAGAACCCACCTCGGTATTTCACATACACATCAACGTAGGGTACGTCATTGTTATGGTGTCACCCTCCATTTTTATTTTTGAAAGAAGCGACGAGAAGCAAATCATGTTTATTCTTAAGAGCTTGAAAACCAGAGTGAAACATAAGTCATTTATTTCCGGTATACACTAGTTGTAATTTACCACGATATATATATATAATACATGTGCCTCAGCTTAGCTTGAATAGTAGTACAAACTATTTCCAACAGGACTTCGGTCAGCTTGGTATCCCGCACGGCGATCATTGCTTTCGAAAATAAACCTGCTTAGCCTTCGGACCGGTACATTTCCCTATCATTTTCGTCATCTTTTGGGAGACCAAGGATGCCGATATCCGGAGCACTGTGCTTATTTCATACGTAAACAAATGCCTCATGACAAAAAACGGTTCCGAAAAGCTCTATCTTAAAGCAAAGAGGTTCTCTCAGTAGTTTCTTGGGGTGTTTTGCAACTACTCGTTTTGGGCTTCTAACAACGGTGCCGACGGGACAACTCATTCTTTGGGTTCTGATTTGGTGACCTGATTTCGTCATGGAGGAGAACCTTCACGTTTTTCATGGACTTTTTGAGATGAATTCATAATGGGGTCACTGATGTGAGCATTCTCATTGATTCACAAATGCACTGTTAGTACCCCACAATGGTTCACGCTATGTCACTAATGAAATGATACTAGCTTTGATCTCTGTATTCGCTCATTTGGCTCCGAAATGCCAGACGTTCACAATGGAATATTATTCCATCAACCCGCGAGATCGACAAGCACGATTAAATTAGACTAGCCTCAGTCACTTGTTCAATTAGGTCTGATGTATCTGGCATTTATCATCCAGCTGCTTTATTTAATTTCTAGAGATTGTCAGTTCTTTTTTCGAAGCCAAAAAGAGGAGTGGTGCTGTATAATGAAGATTTACTCCCGTAAGTTGAAACAATCTACAGCTGTACGGCTGTTTCTTCTCTTTATGAATCAGCAGTTGCGCGCATTTCACTAAGGTTTAAGGCGTCACGTGGCCTCCTCCATGGCCTACTAGCCAGAAGGTTGGGGGTTCGAGGCTCCCTGGATTTGTGTGAGATTCGCACAGTTGACGAATTCCAACAAGAATGAAACAGTCGTAGTGTGCTTGTGGGCTTTCCAGTTTGTATTGGCTTCACTAAAAGAACGAAATCTCCATTAAAATTCCCAGATCGCGGCACAATACCAACAGATGGATGGTTTGTTTTAGACAGAGTAATGCGAGCAAAAGCGTTTACGTTATTGCCACGAAACGCAGCAAACCATGCGGTCCAAGTGGCCAAATAATCATGATTTGACTGAGGTGTGAGGAGTATCTAAAGCATGATGGTGTAACATGAGACACAAATCAAAGCCCTTTTACACACACGGGTTGTGAATGACCAAGATACCATTGCAACAAGTGATGACCATGTACCTAGCAGATATACTGCATTATAATCCCCCTGAATAGCTAATCGACTATGTAGAATAGGACAATGCACAGAATCTCCCAATTGGAGTCACTAGCGGATGTCAGAGAGTCATCCAGTAGAATCCGTAATTTCCCCCTGATTGAATAGCTCCGTCGTTTTCACCAGATTATACCTTACTCTATGTTTGTCTCCTTTCGCCCCCCTACAGCTTTAATATTGGACCGGCTCACATAATTTCTTTTTCATCTGAGTTCTACTATTACCTGTCCTACGGTTGGAGACAGCCATTCAGACAGTATGACTGGCTGGAACAGGATTTATTGGTAGGTCTTGCCGCAGTTTTAGTTTTTTTTTCCATGTATTGGGTTCCATCTAATAAAAACTAATGCCAGAGGCTTCTAAAGGTTATAGAAGTATGAGCGGTCCATTCTGTACTTCGAAATATACTTGCAAACCTAAACAACACGAAAGCAGTGAATATGGAAAAAGTTATCAGTATTGTTCTGATCTGTTTTTCGGCCCTTATCACGGACGTAAACCGTGCAAGATTACATAGCAAGTCCAAGAAAAATAACTGTAAGACGAACGCTTACTAGGGAGATAATTTCCGTCACATGACGGGTGTTGTAGTAGACAAAGTTCTCAGTCAAACAATTTCATGCACATGGTTGGTACGTTTTAGTTAGTTAGTTAGTTAGTTAGTTAGTTAGTTAGTTAGTTAGTTAGTTAGTTAGTTAGTTAGTTAGTTAGTTAGTTAGTTAGTTAGTTAGTTAGTTAGTTAGTTAGTTAGTTAGTTAGTTAGTTAGTTAGTTAGTTAGTTAGTTAGTTAGTTAGTTAGTTAGTAGTAAGTTGGCGGTTTGTTTCCCAGTAAGAATTAGGGGCGCTCTGGTAGGACGATATCAAGAAGACGCTTTGAGATCGATGGTCTTGGCGTGGCTTCTGAAACGTAGGATCTGGTTGCGATATCAACCAAGTCAATCATATCAGGATGTGTACAGATACTTGGGGCTGTGGACATCAATCTGCTCTGTCAACCTTTGTATCACTCCAACTACATGCGATTACAATCGTGAATACCGTTCTGGAAACACACTTAGACGTCCGACAAAGTGGTCGGTTTTTATCTTCAGTCGAAAAGCAGAACACTAACGAAAAGTTAATCTCATTTTCGTCCTGGTAACTTGATATAAAATGCATGAATCCCTGTTTTAATCCTACATTGCCAGTGCTAAGGATTTATCTTAATATGAGAATTTGACAGAAGGCTTATTCCACGAGAAAAAGACCGTGCGGTATGAGAATACACGTGTGAACATATTCGTGATAGGATGTGGAATAACTTGATGAAAAATGCCGGTTCATGTTTGCCTAACCCCCTATCTTCAACAGTGATGGCCTGACAAACGACTGCAGCTAGTGGGTATTTTTAGATGAATGAAATTGTTTACAATACGTGTATTGCAATCGACTGCGGTGCAAATGCTGATTGCAGTTATGGTGGGGCGTGCACGCTTTTGCGACCAGAGAATCAGTACAGTTTCAGTGCACGCACCCAAAGGCTTGAAGCACTGCTATCTGGCTGGAGATGGAGCTTGAGTACTGAGATCCAGTGAAACTTATTCAACTGCTGATCATTACTAGAAGCCAGACATGCCTTTCATGTTGCTGATTGGACCACATTTTTATTGAACCCAAAATTTCATCCAATTTGCTATTCCTTACTACGATACCATCTGAACAATGAGTATGCAATATATGGTGCATGATTTCTTTGATCCTCTTTCCTTATAATTACCGGAAAGAATAGTTCATTCATCCGCTTGTCTGCCAATTTTAACTTCCAAACCAATTCACAATTGTTTTGTTTAGTACACACTGACATGACTATCACACGTCGGAGCGATTCTTGGTCCAAACGAGCTGCCATCATTTTTAGTACACTAAATCATTTTCACATATTTTTGTGAAACCGCATCATATGTGGTATAGGTGCGACATCAGCTTATCGGTCAATGGTCGAGTTTACAACCCTACGGTGCGCTCCATATTAATAAACGAGTCAGAAACCTAGCAGCTGCGCGCAGAGGAGGTTTGACCATCACTATCTTTGAAGCATTCCTGAGTGTGTTAGGAACACCGGCTAAGTGATGCTGGATTACGTCGAATGGTTCCCCGAGAGAATAATCCGCCTATGACAGATTAATTGATCACAATCCACAAGTTGAGCTTGCTTAGTCACATGTCCGCATGCCAGTTGACAGCTTCCTCGGAGATGGCGGAACTGAGGAGTGACAGCGAAACACAGGAGGCCAAACAATGCTTTGGCAAAGAAGTATGAAAGTAAGATGAAGTACATTCAGCAGTGCTGGTCATTGGTGTCTCCCTGAATGTGGACTCCGTGACGGAACACACCAATGGTCAGAGACATTGTTAGACATATAGCAGTCGAACTATCACTGGTGCTCATGTATCCAAACGATTGCCATCAATGCATGGCTCCCCCCTTGATCTTCCCAGCGAAGGGTCCCTGACCACCCTGTATTTTCGCGTCAACTATACCAGCTACCGCCTCCAATGCGTAGCTATCTACCCGACTGCCCCAAATCATCGGTGAACGCAAATGGGGCAGGTAGAACCATTGTACGGAAAGTACGTTGTTTTTGCAACTGCTGATAATGATGACGACAAATTTCCAATTCATTTTCAAAGGACACAATCACCTGCATACATCACAAGCGGCCTGACGACAGTGCGCAAAGTTTGCACAATAAAAAACGAAGGGCACGCACCGTCACAGTGCAAGGGTTGTTTATTTACAACCTATCTGATCACAGCATCTTTGCGTCTGCAATGCTTGTCTGCATCAGCATGATAGCTGTTTGTTGACGTAACCCAGGTATACCCAGTTCCAGTGGGTCCAAGTGCAACCTTTAACTTCTATCGCTCTGTTCGCTAGAAAGTGTACCGAATGATATTTTCCCATCATTTTTTACTAGCCGGAGTGTGTTCTTTTTGAATATTTAACCAACATCGCCTTTCCTTTCACTTCCGAATGTCACCACAAAAACCTGACTGATGAATAATGAAATTCCTTAAAAATTCAAGCCTTCCTGCAATAATTGTACTCACCAAATGGTTTTCTTCGGAGAATTTTTTGTTTAAGTAACGAACTCTTTCAGCTGTATAAACTTAAGAAGAGACCATGTCATGGAAGTCTGAAACAAATGAATTGATTTTTGGGGTGTTTCCTATGAGGTTCTAACAGAGGGAAAATGTGTTTGTGATGTGTTTCGTAAATTTCTTAGATGGTGACGAATGTGCGACTGACATCCATGCCACACTCGATACTGGAACCAACGTGAGGAAGACGGAATTCTTTGGACGGATGAAGGAAGCTTAGTATGCATGCTGACAAGCTAGGCTTTGATTTTTCCGACGAAATAAAAATGAGTGTTTTGCGCGGTCCAGTATAGGATTTTATCTTCACCTGCCGTCGCATGCCATAAACAACTAGCTGTTGGTTTGTTTGGCGAGCTGGGAGGTTTGGTTGCAAAAACTTCTTCAGTAGTAGCTGAGGTCATCCAATCAGTGCATAGTGGTTGTTGATTTACGGGTTGATACAGGCTGTACTCACTCAGGTTGAACATAATCGATCATTGGTCATTTGGCTGGGTCTTCCTACTTGATTGTCTGTTTCCGTTTTCGCTGGTGGGTAAATGTCCGGATGGCCTTGAAACATGACCTTCCCACCCAATCTCGCCTCAACCTTTGTTTGTTTGCCTCCACAGTGAATCCCGTTTCTTTGTCTGTTGCTCTGATGACCGGGTCTGATTCAGTGTTACCACTGAGTTGGCGGTCTCTCGTTCGTAGCGTTGCATAGATACGGGTGACTTCGATGTGCCGCTTGCCCTCAGGAGCACGATGCTTCTAGGAATCTGTGCACCAAGATCCTTGTGTTCACCAAATTCAATTCGTCTCCATCCTTATCTCTACGTTTTTATATAAGAGACAGTTGGTTGTGTCGCTTGATAGCTGTGTTTTCTTTCTCCATCCGTGTAGAAAGTTCTGTTCCAGTCTGTCTAGTATGATATTGGTTGCAGTCTGTTGTTTTTTGCGCCTTTATTAGTCTTGTCCCTTGGTCTCGAGCCAAGTTTCCTCAATGTAGGTTAGTTGGTTCGGGCCATCAAAGCAACAAAAAAACGGGACTCATTATTGAGGCAGACGAACAAATTAGTTTTAGATCAGTTGGCTGTTGATCCGCTGGCCAAGTTTGGTAATTAACACACCCAGGTTACCAATATTATGACATATTTGCCCAAAAAACAACTGGAGACCGTATAGGTCACGTGACAAGGTTACCCGTACCTTCAGCAGTCAGAAAACAGGCCGGCCAAAAGGAGTGCTCAATTAAACCACTAATGATCCGTCAAGGTCATGCGATATTATTAGACCCTACATCAACCCATGCACGCGCAACAACGTTGCACTTCCACACATCACCCACCGATGATTTTAACTCGAGGAAACGTTCGCAACCAAATGTTCAGCTGGGTGATCAAACCAAGACCTATCATTTTAACCCGAGGTACCAATATTCTGTTCAAGTGCAAAAAATAGATATTTGTTTGCTTGCCAGAAACCTTAAAGTTTACCGATCACCAAATTATTTGGATTAAACTACTCGCGAAAATGCTGTACCCAGCATTGCCGAGAATTACGAAGACGTGACTGCGTACGTTACTTCTCAGTACTAAATCGTTGAGGTACGCAAAAAAATAAAAGATTTTTTCAACCGTATTGTTTTACGCGAATGATCGATTGGAACACAAATTCTACTGTCAGACAACGTATGACTTCACAGTATGCAGAGCACTGCGAGCTGTGGAAAAGCCGAAAGTTTTCGCCCGCTGTTACCAGCTGTCCAGATAATTTCGACATTCTTATTTTATTAACCGCTGCTTGAGTAACAATTTTCTAAAAATGAGAACATGCAGTGAGACATCAATGTATTTCCTTGCAACAGCTCCCTAAAGCGTTGGTTTTTAACAAACTTTTATTCATACAGCACTGTGAAACATCGCCTCTGGTAACCCTACATCGTCGTTTGGTTGCACATATTTGCCCGTCTTCATCCGTAATTTTTCCTCCAGGATGCCAATAAACCAGAAAATCGCCAGCTGAGGCCTTGGATAATCGCTTTCGGACACCGCCCAATGTACTGCAGTAATAATGACGATGCGATGCATTGTGACAATGTCAACAATATTGTTCGGACGGGTTTTCCGTACGGAAAAAATGGAAGCAGTGGCTATAGCCTTGGACTAGAAGAATTGTTCTACCAGTATGGAGTTGACATAATTATTGGCGCGCACGAACATTCTTATGAGCGTTTTTGGCCAGTGTACAATCTGAAGGTGAGTTTATACGATTCAGGCATACAGTTACTTTTAATTTTCTTAAAATGCTGACAAAATGAAGAAGTTCAGGTGATTCGCGGTTCGGATAATTTTTTATCACTAAAAGTGAACTGGTTGTATCCTCTTTCTGTCTGGCCGAAGTCATTGTACATCACCAAAACTGGCTAAGTAGAAAGGTAGCAAAAATCTCAAGGTAGTTTTTGACAGCTCCCATCTATGTGTCAAACAATGTGTGGAACGATGAAAGCATGAACTCCTATTGTGATGGTTCTTGTTCAGGTTTTGACACTGATATCTGACACCGATCGACTGGTTTGCGCACCTTAGTGAAACATCCTCATCCGGTAACTCTCTCTAATTAGCTTACCGTCACCATCGGTTTGGCGATAGTCGAACTGACTGAGTGTCCCGAATTACAGATGCTCAAATCTGACCGAGTTTTAGTTGAGCCACAGGCAATCTGTAGACTCTTGCATTCGGTATCGACTTTACCGCAGCTAGAATCAAGTTTTTAGCCCGCCCAATATAAATAATCGCCCCGTGCACAACTTTGCTTTGTAGGTAAACGAGTGGCAAACAGGGCGCCCAAACCATTGTGGTTTTTGGTCATCCACCTTATTTGAATGGCACCAGAGGGTGCAATGGGAGAATATTTCTGACCTGTACTTCCATCTGATGGTTGCCTTGACCACGCAGTATAGATCATGACGTGGTGAATGATAAATTTTTGGAACACAAGGAATTTTGCAATGGACAATATGTTTATGTGTCGTGATCATTTAGTCAAAAATTGAGAGCAGGAACTACTGCTTAATGAACGTTTTGATTTGGAGCTTTTGGTGACCATAAGTTGTTTATTGCAGTCCAAAAGCCATCGTCTCAGAAGATTTGAGTGCACTTGGTCACAGGCTCTTTAAGTGGGCTGGACCGCTCAACAGATCACACTGAACTATCTGAGAGGGTCAAACTGCTAATACGTATCCCTTCCACGAGATGCAATTCGAGCCACCAGTTTAAGCAGTTTAACTAACAACGGTCCAAATCAGTTACGCGGTCTGTTGTATAGTTGAAGTCTTTCTGGATAAAGACGACTGTCTAACTTTTTTTTCAAAAATCGTGGTTTAAAACAGTGAAAGTGTGGTTGTGTTGAAAGACTCTTCATCCGTTCAAAGAAGCACAAAGTATCTACTCAATGCGCGAGCATAAATCTACAATGAATTAGTGTTCGTAGGTCTACTGAAGGTTTCAGTCATCCTTCTCCAAGCTGCAGAACCAATCCAATACTTTCGGAGTTGCACTGCAGATAAAAATCTATCCCTACATTTCGTTTTTTGTTGACTGTTGTTTGTGTTTGCCTTCACCTGTTTCTTCTTTCAAACTAGACGAGTCGAATGTACAAGCAACGAAATTGAGCGTTGATCAAACGACGTAAAGCAATTCCGTGTGATACACAAGATAAAACGCAGATCTTGAAACGCTGGAAAACATCGACATTTTTACCATAGTTGGTCGCTACTTGTGTTGTTCAGCAACTTTAGTCGATGTTCCACCAACAACGATTCAAGTGGCCATTGTTTGTAAGGCAGTTTTAGCTGAGCAACTTTTGTTGGGCAGAGGAAAAAAAGCACAAAAGCAAATATAAATTGGTTTTGCAGTTACTGAAAACGGAGTTGAATTCCGCGCTAGCTATCTCGCAGATTACATGTGCGATTCTGTTGCTTGTGACTGATCATTTCAGTAGGTCATCAGTCCTTATGTGGGCGTGACAACAACTACACCTGATGCGTTGGATCTAAACCTCTTTCGGAAAGTTTCATCAGGGGGACATAACCAGATCAACAGCGTGACCCTTCTATCGAAACTCATCTAGCGCATCGAGGGCATACGTAAGATTAGATTCCTATGCCATTTTACGTCATCATCTGGCTGGTCCACATTTTGGATTTATTCTGCTTTCGATATCAAATATAGTCCAAAACACTGTTCTCAATTCATAACAGTCAGTGTTTCGTTGGTGTAATGCTGGAAAACTTTCAGTTATCCCTGTTCTGAACCCCCTTCTTGATCAGCTTGTGTTTTGTCTATCTAACCGAGGCTAGGGAGATCATGTGAGATAACCCTGAAGCCAGCTTAAGAATCTGACCATCCACAAAGACAGTACCCATGTAAGTTACCTTTGCCTGGCTGTCATAAGTCTGCTGTATTAGTCTGGTCGGCAATCTAGTGACACTCTGCTCAAGTACATACATGCCAAACAATGTGTCACATGATCTTCCTTTCTACTCTAAAGTGAATAGCCAAGGGATCGCCAGATCAGACCCTTCATGATTTTTAACTTTATATGTCCCCAGGAAAGAAGCATTACAATCGAACTGAGTGGAATATATAAGTTATTGACCCCTTGCATTATTTTGCACCTGATCAATAGAGGCCAGAGTGTTCTATTTTTCATCTAAAGCTTGGATAAACTAAGAGCAAATTCTACGAAACAGTTCTGAAGAAAAGCCATTAGACATCAGAATGTTGTTGCTTCCTGAGCAGAACTCATCGACAGTGAATATTCTGTAACCTTAATTTATGTTGAGAATCCATTATATTGGTGAAAGAATCGTAATCTATTTCTGGTAAAAGAGCAACTGGGTAAGACTTTCGTTGGATTTTGCTGTCTCCAAAACATAACACTTGAAGCCCATTGGTTGTTCAACAGTTTCCCATAAGGCGTGCACCTAATTGGATATATTGTTGGTGTTTTGAAGGTATCCGCAGTATAGTTTGTGTTTATTGCTGGATTTGCCGGTTTCGATAATTAATAGGCTATGCCTAATACACCACTCATAAGGTTGCTGAAAACTCTTCGGCAGCCCATGACCGGTTTCGCCCTTCCTGGGGCTAGAGATTCAGCCGGTTTCCAGATGAATGCCCCCATAAAAACTAAATTTGTGGGTGTATTTCTATCATTGTGACTAAGCTCCTTTTTTAATTTTATTAGAAATATACGGCAGTTCGATGGTAGAATAGGGGTAACACAAAACCGCAAACGAATTCATGGAATATGAGACCTTTACTAGACATGTTCAATAGACAGCACACTAATGGCATACCTTATTAAGAAACAATTTATATCATTTTCCGGTCTCCGTAAAAGCAGGGAATCTACTACACTTAGATTAACCGGACTGCAATGTAACTGTTCTGCACACCCACACCGGATATCTCTTTTCAAACTAACAAGCTGATTAAGAAACTGTCCAGCTGCGAAATACCTAAATCCCGTAAACAACTGCAAATAGACTGAGTCAGTACTATAAGATCATCTTGACTAATACTGTTCCACAGAATAAGCATTTTGAAGTGGTCATGTTTTCTATGACTTGACTCGCAAAATTTCCAATAGCAAGAACAACACCATAATATGTTTTTGCCTGTTTTTATCAGGTATGTAACGGTACACCGGAAAACCCTTATCTGAACCCTCCAGCACCAGTCCACATTGTCACAGGATCAGCTGGATGCTCGGAAGGTATGGACCCTTTTACTCCCGGAGGAAAACCCTGGTCCGCCTTCCGATCAGATGACTACGGATTTACTCGAATGCACATTCACAATAAAACTCACCTTAGTGTGGAACAGATTTCAGTGCAACAGGTAAGCGCTACAATGTTATGTCTTATCAGCCTCAGTCATAACTTACTGCTACAGGTAGGACTCTCCTTTTTAACCCGCTCCAAATAAGTCTGAAACAAGGGTGAACTGCCAATTCATTTGTCGTACTGTTTCAGCGTAATTCGGGAAGTCAAGAAGATTTGCCAACCGGTGGCAGTATAAATATGTCCACTGGTCCTGCTAGACTGAATGTTATTGTCTTTTCTGAATGGTTTTCTCAAAAAAGGCTTCATATATCTTGCTGTTGACCAAAGTCTCAGCTGAATCCTTTTTTTATCTTTTTAAACAAACTCTATTTGAAAATGTAACCCATTATTTAAGTTTGAATGATATCTGAGGTGTCGGGGCACACTTCAGTGCCGCTTGTGAGGTTTCCATCTTTTTCGGGCTTCTTAGGTAGACTTAATCTACTAACCTCTCAAATCGCCTGCTTTTTGGAAAGAATTCTTTACTTCATGTTGGCAGCCACTTGTTTGACGTGCGTTTATTTTCTTCACCGAATACTATGTCTGTAAACTGAGAAAGCGGGGCCCGGTGTTGTTTCTGCTGATGATTTCGCAAGAGTTAGGTCAGGATATTTGTACTGGAGTTTCGTTATTCCAAACAAGAGGGGTCGAGTAAAACATTACGACGTTTAAATTTTTCAAGGAAATGGTTTGGCTTCAAAGATTTTAGCTTGGATGTCACCGCTGTTATCGTTTAAGGCTGCATTGTCGAAGGGGCGCCCTTAAAATTTCTTTAGACAGTCTGCTTGCTGCAACCTATACAAACTGACAGAACGTAGTGGGTAACATTTCATTTCGTAAAGTTCTACTCGAGGTTCATCATTCTATGCGGCAGCCAGTCTGGTTAAACTTACAGTGATAAACCTTTTGATGGGCAATCTATTTGAAGATAATTTGGTCATTTTACCATCACTTAATTCAAGACAGTCAACACTAGCTTCATTGTTCGGTCTTATTGGAAGCCGTTCCATATTTACATAATTCCTCGAGACTATTTAAGCTTTAGTGGTGCCGGCTGCTTATATAATGGCAACTTTCCTGTCAGGTTGGTTCATTTGTCCGTAAAAGGTCTCCAAATCTGTAACCGTTATGCACAAGTTGACCGTACAAATGTGACATTCGGTAAGTTGCACTGTTTCGCTGCTGTTTTCAGAACACTCTACATGACACTCTAGAAGTTTACCGCTATTTGCTACTATGCCTTTTGAATAACAACCACTTATCAGCGTCAGTTACTCGGATAACGCCCAACCTTGTCTTGCTCGAAGCTTGTCGAAACGGACATGTTGGTAGCTGCAGTTGAAGTTATTTATGGTGTTGCCTAGTTTCCACAAGAACAGAGGATGATGTCAAAAATACAACTCAGTTCCTAGTTGAACTCACTGGTCTGGCATGACCAGAAGCGAATTCCCTCATTTTCAATGCCTGCTGAAAAGTGGAACACACCGGAGGCTTTCGAGTTGTAGTCACATCCACATGGTCCGTTGAAATCAAAGTAGTTTTTGTCTACAGCGACAGTAGTGTTCATGTTTATGGTTCACGTGAGCAAAACACACAATCATTTGTACAAAATGATTCTTGATAGGATGTACTGTCGTGTGAGGTGTTCCAACTACCAAGGAGCCGGTTGGTCTCTGTAGTGGGTAACCAACATATCTACCTTACATGGGTGGGAGCCCTAGCGAAAAGATCAACCGTGCAGAAGTAAGTAGTTGTCAGTGGTGCACCTCGCGAATCAGAATTGGCAATATGGGACGACGATTAACCAGTTAGAGAAGAACGGGACGCAATGGAGTATGTGCACCCGGGCACACGTGTGTGCATGCTTATGTATGCTTCAGGGAAGTTTGGGCAGGACCTTTCTAAAGGGATTCCCCACGATGTACATGATGCTTTTTTTTCAAACACTGCCAAAGTAGATTGCTTGACGAAATACGTTTATTGTACGGTTGCCTAAAACTCATTCGTAGTTGATGACTAGTTTTGCTTTCCTTAGAGCTCATCAGGTACGCTCAATCTCCAAGTTTCCATCAATCTGGGCGCCCAATCGCATGCAACTCGGAAAATTTACCCATTTATAAATTAATCTTGCTTTTTCAACGAAAGACACACGTAAACCCCAGGTAAATCTCTCGTTCAAATGAATATGCTGCACAGAGGCTGTCCCATGACCCATTTGGTGCAGTACTTAACATATGTGTAAATAGATAGATGGGTGGTTATTGTCTCCAATAAAGCTGATGAGCATCTACGAGCAGGCTGATGGCTAACCTTGACAAGCATTTGGATCACCATCCTGGAAAATTATAACCGGATGGCCGGATTTGGTAAGTAGCGCAATGACCGAATGACTCTCTACATCCAAAAAACAATGTCTAGTCCTGGTTCAATTGCCTTAATTAGTTATAGGTAAGTGCGCAGTTTGCCTAACGAGCCCTGCTTCCGCCCTAGTGTTATTGCTCTGCTGAGTTCACGTCAAAAAGAAAAGCTCTGGGCTCAATTTTCGCTGTTACTGGACCACATCAAAGTGCATAATCTTGACCGTATCGGGGTTTAAACTCCAAATTCCGGAATGCAAGGGGACCATGTTACCGAGCGTAGGCTGGTCGCCACATGAAGTACCACGCCCCGAAAAGATGAACAACTTAAGGTGGGTTTACTCAACGTCTTCAAAGATGACATCGTAATTGGGTTGGTTGTGTCGGTTGGCTGAACCGCCTGTCAGAAACTCCCATTCAGGTGACGCCACGGACGAATAAGTCTTGCTGGATAATATTTTCACGAGTCATGGACGGTTGCGGAAACCGCCGTGACGCAACCCCTAATGACGTAATGACATAATTCGTAATAACGTCCAGCAGGAAACTGCTTAGCACTTCAGATGGCCCCAGCTCTAATTCCGGCATTGCCAAAGCCACATATTGTAAATAAGCTCTAATATAAGGGTTATTCGAAATTCGGGTTCGCTGATTCAAATCTCACCACAACAACTTCACCAGGAAAAGAGGAAGACTGTTCAACCGAGAGTTACGTAAACTCGATCGTTTTATCTTTCCACCGCAGAGTATTTGAGTGATGGTGCAATAGACCGCACTGAAGGACCTTTGAGTTCGTCTGTCCTCTGCAAAAACCGAAATCGGCCTAACCCTCAGGCACACACTGAAAGCAGGTTCTCTTCAAAATGGTGCATTTGCACTGAATGTGCTATTATTTTGAAGTCCAAAAAAAGTGATAGGCAAAGAGATTAAGCTTCCTGAATCGGTTTTGAAGCTTTGACACTGAACGTTTTTGTGCTGTTCTTTTTTTCAGGGTCCCAACGGCGTTGTTATCGACTCATTTACAATTGTAAACAGTCATCATGGAAAAGACCAGTTCACCTGCCATCTAGAACCAGAAAGTCAGGAAAAACCTTGGACTGCAATCCAACCAGCGAAGAAAGCCATATTGAGGAATGTTGGAACGAGTCGCGCCTGGGCCCGGCTTTTTGCACCCTAAAGATGTTTACCCACATGAAATCCATAGTGCTGGCCTATCATTCCTGATTTGTCACTTTGCGTTTGATGTCCCCCCACAAGAACTTTGTCACACATACGATCTTACCAGTTCCAACCACTTTTTGACGTCTGAGGTAGCAGACGCCCAGCCTAACTGAGACACCACTGAGGGGTACTAAAATGTTTCTCACACAAGAATGTTTGCTCCGCACACTTCTCCAACAAGGACATAAAACATGGAATGTTTTGACTTCAGTGAAATCATCATATCTTCAATGCACGTCCTTCATCGGGACATCCCTCATGTTGTGACAGTAAATACGAATAAATTGCATCGGATAGCGATTTTCTAATGCTGTTTCATCTCTGAGTATACAACAGTCCCTTCAATGCACGTCCTTCATCGGGATGCGCTGCAATTCAATGAACCTCTACAGTAACAACCTAAAAATATAATCTAAAAATTTGGCCCTTTAATTCAACTTCCACTAGTGCAAGAGCCTAACAGGACATTCTCTAAAATGGTAAGGAAACTAGTATTGCTTACTGAGTACCCGATACATACGGGGTTGGTGAATTGTAATTCACCCTATGTCCCAAGTTCAAACTTCTTCCCCAAGGTGAAGTGCTTTTGTGCTTTGCCCCAAGCTCATGTCAATCAATCAGCCGGACTAAATTTAGCTCGATCAAGAAGAACCTGTTAATATACCGTCATCATGAATCTACATCCCTCATGCGGTGACAGTAAATACAAATAAATTGCATCGGATAGCGATTCTCTAGTGCTGTTTCATCTCTGAGTATACAACAGTCAAAGTAGCCTGATGTCCAAAGGCTATACTTGGAAGTTTGTCTGTGCGCAGGCAGCATCCAGTTCGGTGCTCTTACAGTGCACCATGAAGATAACGACCACATGTCTCTGTCAGCATCACCCCTTCCTTTGGTGGCATATTGTCTGAAGAGTAGAAGTAGCCATAGTAACAGCTGTTGAACTAGATTGCGACATGGTAATATACCTCATAAACACGTAGGTACAGCTGCTCTGTCGGTGAACACTTTAAATAAGTCTGAGCGACCAACAAGTAAAATCCACATACAATTATAATTGTGTACATTTGCTAGCATATTCAGACAAATGCGTTCAAGCTAAAAAATAGTACAATGTGAGGATCTTAAACGTAGACACCCCGTTTTTACATTTGCAGAGTATAAGAAGTAGTCTGATGTCCAAAGGCTATACTTAGAAGTTTGTCTGTGCGCAGGCAGTATCCAGTTCGGTGCTCCTACAGTGCACCATGAAGATAACGACCACACGTCTCTGTTAGCATCACCCCCTTCCTTTGGTGGCATATTGTCTGGCGAGTAGAAGTAGTCATAGTAACAGCTACTGAACTAGATTGAGACATGGTAATATACCTCATAAACACGTAGGTACAGGTGATCTGTCGGTGAACACTTTAAATAAGTCTGAGCGACCAACAAGTAAAATCCACATACAATTATAATTGTGTACGTTTGCTAGCATATTCAGACGTCTCATACAAATGCGTTCAAACTAAAAAATAGTGCAATGTGAGGATCTTAAACGTACACACCCCGTTTTTACATTTGCAGAGTATAAACTCCGTATATGCACGTAGCTGGATGCAATATTAATTTAGCTTGTTCCCTTTGATATCTCGCTCTTTAAAGGGAACATCAAGGTTTATCCAAACCGTTAGCTTAAAAGGTGAGAATTTTTCATCCGATCAACGAAAACCTGCACACACAGAGTTTCGATTGCGGCCAACTTTGAGGTCACGCCGCGAAGCGTCATAAAACAGTGACTTCTGTATCAGATCCTTAGGCAGCAGAAACGACCCACAATATGTGCATTTTTAATCTTGTAAAGTGTAAATCATTTTCTGCGTTTAGTGAGGTGCAATCTCGTCTTCTTTCTGGTCTCAGGACTTTCGGATATTGTGGGTGGAAATGTTGTATCGTGGGTGGCCGTCCGTTGATTACGCCTGCACTGAGCCTGCCAGCAGCAGAAACGACCCACAATATGTGCATTTTTAATCTTGTAAAGTGTAAATCATTTTCTACGTTTAGTGAGGTGCAGTCTTGTCTTCTTTCTGGTCTCAGGACTTTCGGATATTGTGGGTGGAAATGTTGTATCGTGGGTGGCCGTCCGTTGATTACGCCTGCACTGAGCCTGCCAGACTACTCGATAGGGAGAAGACAGAGAACTGGGGACACGGCTGTATCGCCAGGACAAAACATACAGAGCGTCTGCGTAATATATAGGATGACTAAATGGCAAAATGTGGTCGTTCACTTGTCCTCTCCGTACAGCCAATGGCGATGTTCCGGTCATGAACAATCTCAGGCCCACTGCGCTGGTCGTATGTTGCTAAGCCGTGTTTGGTGTGCTCCGCCAACGCACCTGCTTTCTGGACGTGTCGTACCGATGGTGACCTTGGGGATGCGTCACTCTCTGCACATGTACTTTTTCCATGTCTGGGTGCGTCCTGACAGGAGAACATTTAGAAAACTATCTCACATGTGCATCTCCACCACAGGTTGTGGGCCGGTATATTGTTTCGACGGAAGAGTACGAAGTTTTTCGTCTGAAGGACCACAGCCTATGCAATTTCACAATGCAGTAAAGTGCAGTTTTCAGCGCTTGTCCGAATATTATTGCCTATGAACAGGTGTTTCAGCAGCCACTAGGATCTGCGACCCAGACTGCTTTTACGATGTGCTACAGTTCTGTGAGTTCAGTCACCATACCTTGTGTTACCCTGCACCCATGTCCAACCTGCACTAATTTGCCTGCTCCCAATTCGGGTTTGCCTGAGTATGCTGTGCAAACAGACGTTTAATTCGTCTGTGGTCTACCTGGGATAACTCAGATTCATGACCTGGATGGGTACTGGAACCTCTTTTATGAACTCACCTCAGATTCATGACCTGGATCGGCTTTATGGGTACTGGAACCTCTTTTATGAACTCACAAGGTAACCACTTGGAGCAACTACTGAAACTGGGTATAAGAAGAGTCTCAGCTAGGGAATAAAGAGGTGCTGTCACAAAAAAACTGAGAAGTATGAAGGACATCTGTCCGATCTTCAGATGGTGAACCTTAACAGGTGATACGTCGATTTATTGCCCACTGTGAACCATTCGTTTTCAGGGCAAATAAACAACTTGCTACATGATCCATCCCTAGGGTTAGCCAGGCTGAAAATAGGGGCACCGTTGTTTGAAGATTGACGTGTCAGATTTACAGGCCTCATCACTGTTTCTGTATTCAATGTTTTTGGTCGTCTAGAGGAGAACAAACTGCGAACACCGTTTTGTTTCACCGGCATAAGACTAGTAAAAAAGTGTCCGTGCAACACCACACGGTGCTTTGAAATTGAGCAGATCAAAATTTTGTGGAATAAATGGCATGTAACCGCTCTGACAAACTTCACAAAATCATCCATTTATTTGTTCAAGAGCTACTGGGAAGATTATTTGTAAGTAATTGTCCGCTGGCGTTTAGGACAAAGATAGCACGATTTACTCCTTATTGTAAGTCGGAAGCCCATCACGGTGTATGCAGAAACGGTAAGAAAACAGCCAGTATTCTAAGTAACTCAACCCGGGATCTTTCACTCAGCGACTTATCGAGTTTTGCAAGGAGGTCATTCTAGGTGACAACCCAACTTTGTAGCAGTATGACACATTGACTTTAGGTGCTTGAACACAAAGAATTCATTTTATCCCAAGTGACTGCATGTTTGCAGCAGCCCAAGAGCGCTACATCAATCTTCGGCGGAGTACCTTCCGCGGAAAAGCACACGAGCTTTGCAACGTTTCTGCGTGCCCGGTCAATTTTTTAAAGGTCACGAAGACAGAATTTTCAACCTTCAGGTAGCTCACGTGGTTATGTCAGGCAGGAACCGGTTTGAGTGTACCAGGTATAAACAGGGTGGTTCGTATCTTAATTCACTGCATGATGACAAACAGTGAGTACGATACAGGTCTGTGTCCTTCTCCGTGGTCGGTCCAGTACTTTTAAACTGATGAAAAGCTAGCTAATTGCTGCATATCTAAACAACCACTAAATTATGAACTGTCAGAAGTTGAGGTGCGATATCGTGAACTATATTGCTTCTCGTCCACTTTCGTAGTTAGTCAGGCATTTCAGTTGGAAATTCTTATTTCACTCTCTTTCTGCTTTCATTGTGTTAACTTTAACTGGTGCTCACCGTTAACTTTATCGGTCCTCACTGTTACCCCCACAGCGAGTTATTTCTAATGGGCAATTTCAGTGTAACCGAACTAAGATTTCAAACATTCATTATATCCTGCTTGATTTAGGGAATGTTCTGTTTTTATTGTCTGTTGGAGTCAGCGAGGGCTTTATTTGGGCATGTTTAGGCGTTATCGCAGGTCTCCTCCACCGCCTCCAGCCTCGCCAAAGATATATCTCGCTTTTGATCGCGTGATGTCTAAGTTGTCCGTTTTTCTTCCTTCTCTGTTATCACAACGCTCCTCTTGCAAACTGACCAGCAGAAACGGCTGTCTTCTTTATATTTCCTCATTATCCGCTTTCGCGACTGGACTACGTAGCCGCCCTCTGCAAGCGGACTCAACTTTGCGGTTTGGCTTCAAGTTATATGCTTTATATCTGCCCAAATGTATTTAGCTTTGTTCACCAGACGACTTCTGGTGATAATGTCACCTTGATAATCGCAACCATTCCCACTGCGTCTTACCCTGAAGTCTGTCCCGCGTGAGGAACTCTTAGTGTTCATGGTTGTAATCTCGGTTAATATTCAACTCGGATTGAATATAGATTGAAAACTATTCAGCCTTAGAAATAGACCCCTCTCAATGTGATGCAAAAATTTTACCTGCGAATTAATGTTTTCAAGCTCTGACTACGATCATTTCCCAGCCATTTACGTTCACGGTCAAATGACCCAGTATCCAATTGTGTCCCAATTAACATAGCAGTAAGAATCCCAATCGGTAGTTTCAAAATTAATCAACTGGTTACCGTAAAATGCCAAATCCCAAACCTGTGCAAAGTCATGGAGTCTCTTAGAGAATACCGGAGGACCGATATAAAATATTCTTTACCTGCGGTGAACCGGCATGAGAAAACTATCGGTGCAGACGCAATTTCGCCGTAAAGTTGCCCAAATGCGTCATTCTTCCATGTAAAACAACCAGCTATTATATAATATTCCTTCAAAAGCTTCATATTCTCTTGAGCTTTGATGTGTCTGTTCTATTTGCATGTTGTGGAATGGCAAAATTCGTAAAAGCTTAAACCCGTTCTTATCGTGTAGTCGCACCGTAATC